TTATATAAGTCTCTAGAATTACATACACCACACTGCGGCAGAATATTAAAGGCTATATTGTGAATAAACACATTTAAAAAGTGACTATAGTTGTGACGTCCCAACAACAGAAAAGGTATACCCTGATGTTGTCTTCACAGCAGTGTCTTATTAAAATAACGTTACTACAGCCTTATGCCAAGTAAGATGATTTTCCTTCCAGACCCTTAAGCTCCGCCCACTTCCAAGCTCTAAACATCTTGATAAACAAGAACCACGTTAGTGGCTAAACTGTAATGATGTGAATAATAACATTATGGTTCATTTTTAACCGGTGCTTGCTCCCTCTGTGTCATCAGGAGGAACTTGCTCCCCCCAGTTTTATGGGACGATACACCTCTCTCACCAACATGAGGATCCCTGAGGTTAAATGAAGACACTCACCTGAGAGAGGAGAGCTCACAGAGACTCCGCATGTCCAGCACACAGCACCACACACTTGAGTCACTCATTCATTACGACTCAGATCCAGTTCAGTGAGAAGGAGGGGCGAACTCAGCGCTGATGCACCACTTCACAGTCGGGTCTCTGAGAGTCACATCACACAACTGGAAAACAGACGTTAGATTTAAATATTTGTAGATATCACTGATCAGGACTTGAAGCAGTTTGTGAGGACGGACCGAGCCTTCCGGCAGTTCCACACACAGCAGGATCAGTCTCCTACAACCTTTCAGCATCCGTTTGTACTTCATTTGGACTTTCCAGTATCCTCCAGGACCTGGTCTGACATCTGCAGTATGTGTAAGGCCAGAGCAGAGCACTGGAACACAGACAGTTCGTCTGCTGAGTCCCAATCCAGACTTCAGGAGAAGCTGGATCACTGCAGAGAGACTGGTCCTTCATCTCCATCAGACAGTGGAAGATGATGATGCTTCTGTCTGTGAAGACTCCTCCTCTGAGCTCATCTCTTTGAGGATATTCAATGACTTTGTGGCTTTTCTGACTGTTCCACTGGATTAAACAGCAGATCCTTTTAAAAATTCACTGGTTGCGTCCAGACTGAGGGCCAAGAAGGAAGCAACACAATGACAGGTCCAGCGACCGTATTGAACCACTCAGGGATTTATCAAGAGGACTATCTGATAACCTCACTGGCACTTAACTTTGTCTGAGTCTTTCACAGAGAAACCTTCTTACAACGTCTTGCATGTCACTTCCAAAGCATGCAACCAGGTAAACCGCTGAGTCCCCCCCCCACCCCCCCACCCCCTCCCCCCCCCCCACCCCCCATAACTCCTGGACACTCAGGTTGGACGAAGCTGTATACAGATGGTTGAAGACAACACTTTCTTGTTTGAAGATCCTGTACAGAGTCCTGAGTAGACGAGGCCTCCCGGTCAGGTCCAGTTCCCACCTGCTCCAGGTCTTCCTGTAGAACATTATGTTCCTTTGCAGCAGATTTCAAAGCCAGTCTGCCCAGCTTTCAGGAGGATGTCTGGCTTCTGTCGACACCACTGTTTGGATCTTGTTCCAGCTTCGAACCTGACCAGACCAAAACTGCTTTTTCTCATGAACGGGCCTCAGGTCTCGGATGGTAATTTCACAATCTGTATGGTCGGCACCAATAGGAAGGACACAGCGTACAAGTCGCAGAGAGTCTGGGGGCAGCGCTGCCCACCGGCCTTTCAGATGCGGTTCTCACATGTGGTCCAGGACGGTGCGGTGCATCCAGCCAGAAGAAGGGATCTGACACCATGATTGGAGCTGCGGAGCTTCTGATTGCGAGGACAGGACTGTCTTACAGTGCCTCTTCATCTGTGAAACCTCTCCTGAAGTATGCTCCTTCGTGACGCTCAGTGATGAAGCCTCTGACCTTCTGTGCCTCTGTGCACACTCTGTGCTGTGGATCTGATGGCTGCTGCACTGGTCTGAGGTGTATCCATATAAGGGCAGTAGTAAGAGCAAGTGCCTCTGATGCGGTTCACTATCAGCACACTGACGTCTAGCTCTGAGTTGACCTCAGAGATGCGAGCTCACAATTCAAAGTCCAGACCCAGTCTGCTCTCGTCCAGGCCGTCCCTAAGATGAAGAGGAGTTAGAGACGGACAGTGAGAGTGGGAGAGAGAGTCTGTGGACACAAAGAACATGACAGTTACCAAGTCATACAGATGAACTGCAAGCATTTCTGACAGGAAAGAACAAAGTGAAATACAGTTTGACACCAGGAAGAAGGTGTTCTTTTTTCACGATTTATTAGTTACTGATACAACGCCATCAGCACAGGCTGGGAGAAGTTCCTCAGTTGTGTTAAACACTATATAAATGTTTGAAAGAAAACATTGCTGTGAACTGGACTGAAACAGAAGATAAAGCACCTGTTTTTCCAAGCGCTGATTGGAACACTTGTATGAGCTTGCATCAGACTGTAGACGCTGCCCTTTCACCAGGAATTGTAAACTGTTCAACTCTCTGAAGGACAGCTGCACCACCAGATCCAGATCGCTGGTTTCTCTGAGCCCATTAGCCCAGTTCAGATCAGAATTCAGGACTGAGAAGGACTTCCACTCCAGCCAACGCCGCCCAGTCAGCACTGCTCATTATGGACGTTGCGCCCCTGCGCACCCTCAGTGGGCAGTGGGCTTTAAAGATGTCCCTGACACCCTGATGGAGGTTTTTATCCTGCACAGACTCTTGGAGAGTTTTCCCATCAGCCACTGACTTCCTCAATGGCTGGCAGTCTCATGTAGCAGTTCCCACAGCCTCTGCCCCTGCATCTGGCAGTCTTCTTGGATAGTACCCTCAGCCTCCGCTCCTCATTCTGGGCTGTGGGTGTTTTACACTGAGGCCCATCTGAGATGTAACAGCACAGTGAAGATTCTGTTCATAGGTAGTACTCCTGCTTCCTTCAGTTCTCCCCGCACACTCCCACATCTGCTGATCAGACGCTGTTTAGATGCCGTGCCGAACTTCTGGAGCTCTTCTTCTGTGCGAGGAATGCAAGACGTAACAGTTTAATCATGTGTTTCTTTTATATTACTTCTATTCCGCATGTTTTCATATAGAGCTTATCCCCCTGTTTTCCAGAGTCTGCCTTTATCTGTGAAAGATGTTAAGTCCTCAGCAGATGTTTACTTCAGCTTTAGTGGCACAGTGCATCCAGAAAGTCACTCCAACCACCATCGATGCAATTGGATATTTTGAACACTTATGAACAAGGGATCTTTGTGTTTGATTCTTACCCAAAACGCAAAGAATCCTAAAAAACATTCATAAACATTGTCAAGAGAATTCCGATTCAGATTGGACAGTAAAATGACAAACCTGTTTGAGATTCAACTGTAGAATTGAAAATTAGGGGATGCACCGATATGAACACTTTGGCCGATTTTGAATCCTTATATTAATGATTCTACTTATAGGCCGATAACCAGAAATTGCTGATAACGATGTTTACTAAAATAATAATAATAATAATTCTGAGATGATAAAAGTTTGTACCACTGCATTTATTTCTCTAATTTTCAGAATGTATTTTTTATTTTAGTTAAATGGCGATGTGGGAAAAGTCACACAGGATCTTTTTGTGGCTCTTATTGAGTCTGAAAACTACTTAATGCAGCGTATGTGAGTAGTTATAAAAAGAGTAATGGAACAAAATAGACAAGAATCAATATGTCACCAATATAAATATAACATTAAAACTAGATAAGGTTTAACATATATTAACAGTGGTACATATCATTCTAATAAAAATACTGTTGTGTATCATAAGAGATTTAGAGTTCTTTAATTGAGAGTATCCTCTATCAAAGCTGAACATGATTGCACACACCCTCGCTGATATCGAATATTAACCAATATATGCGTGCATCACTGTGAAAATGAAATAACAGTGGAAGAGTTGAAGTACATTCATGAACGCAGGTGTCATGACTGGTTTGTCCCCAGGTACGTTATATTCAGATTAAACAGGAGGAAATGTTTCTATCAATTAGGAGAGTGTTAAAGAACAGACCAGTATTTACACTTTGTTCCAAATGTAAACATCAAAATGAGACCGTTAAGATAATTCCCCACACTATATTTGTGAATAGATGTAAAGGAATATTTTAGAAGTCTCCGAGAGAAGTTAGTGAGCGCGACGTAGCGCTCCTAACTTCGCTCCTGAGACTTCTCTCTCGCTGCTACTGTGTACGTACGACAAGTCACGCTGCTTCTATTGACGGAAAAGTGAGCGAGAGAGAAGGTCCTCCTTAGAGAAGTAAGTGCGCGACTTAGCGCACCTGCAGATTACTACGCCTCACAATATAGTCCCCTTTTATCCGCTGAGCAAATCGACTTGTTACAGTTACAGTTTACAATACTTTGCAGAGTAACACGTCACTACTAAATACAGTTTAATAGGGAACACTTGAAGATGAATTTGCGGTAGCTTCTATGCGGGAGCACCTTTGGTACTATACATTGACCAGAGTAGGCTGCCGGTTGTGCTCCCGTTTTGCTCCGTTTAGCATGACTAGCGCACGGACTACACCAGACAAGTACGTATTAACTCGTCAACGGTAAGGTCAGAACATATGTCAGTATGTAAAAACGGTGAACAATTCCTTAAAGGCTTAGAATGTGACCTATAAATGTCCATGACGCCTGGAAGTTCGCTCCTTGGTGAATGCACCACTCTTCAAAAACACACAAACATAAGAAAAAAAGGACGTGGCGAGGATCGAGTTTGTGATCTCACAGGGATTACTAATATCGTTGCACATTAACTGCGTGCGCTCAGAGAGTTGACATGTAAAATATGATCTCACACGATAGATGGAGAAAAAAACTATCTTTAAAGCCTTTACTTGCCATTGTTTATATCCTGTTTCGGTCACAATTATAAATTCCTAGATGCACCTTACTGCAGTAAAACAATTACAAAGTACACAGTTTCTTATGAACTGAGTGCATTGGTGATGTTTTTTTCCATACCATCTGGTCATAACAGGGAACAGACAAACCTTGTGTCGCTCTTATGGGCTTGAGGACCCCGTATTCTTGGTGCCCAGAGTCTTGGGCCCTGAGGTCTTGGGCCCTGAGGTCTTGGCCCTGCGGTTCTTAGTGCCCTGAGGTCTTGGCCTGAGGTCTTGGGCCCTGAGGTCTTTGGTCCTAGAGGTCTTGGGCCTGAGGTCCTTGGCTCTGAGGTCTCTTGGTCCCTGAGTCTTGGGCCCTGAGTCTTGGGCCCTGAGGTCTTGGGAACTGAGGTCTTGGGCCAAGAGTCTTGGAGTCCTGAGGTCTGGTCCTGAGGTCTTGGGTCCTGAGGTCTTGTGGGCCCTGTGGCGGAGTCCAGCAGTGAGTTTTTTGCTATGGACAAAAACATTGATATTAGAGCAGTACTGGATTTATTAAAAGTATATAAAAATAACATTGATGAGACTTTGTGTGTAGTCAAGGTGATGTTGTTTTTTGTGTTTGTGACCACGTATGTACGCTGTTGTTCAGGATGGTACCTACTGATCCTGTAGTCTACAGAGCTCCAGGATCAATGGTTCTTATGTTTTCTGGTGCGGGGGTCCCACAGCGAGCAACACCTCCTAAACCTGGATCCAAAAGCCTGGTACAGACCACGTGATGATACTGTGAATCACCATGAGCACATGCAGCCTCACAACAAGGTCAAATTTTCAACAAAATACACTTAATTTTCACAAAGCACATTACTAAAATACACACGTTCCATGTCATGGACCAAGAAGCCCTCTTTTACACATGTGGATTGTTCATGGTTTAATCCACTGGTGAATCTATGACTAACTCACTCTGTCCAGTGCGTAAACTTTAAATATAAATGTAAACTAAAGTCCAGAATCATTGATAAGCGCGTTCAGACCAAACGCTTCAAAAGCTTTCTTGACTGCGCTTCATGCAGACGCAGATAGTTTGGTATTTGTGCTTGAACTTTTGACGCGAGTGACGCGCCTGACGCCGTGGGAGCTTCTCTGTTGTCTGTAGTCAGGACAGCGTTGATTTTCAATGAGCAGCGAGACCGCCTATATATTGTCTAATATAAAGCAAAATAACATTGGTTCGTAGGGCTTCAACAAACATGTTCTGGTGTTCACCACAGACTTGAGAAGGCTGCATGTTTGCAGAGTTCCCGTCATTTACTCCAGGAGCTGCGTACGGAGGCAGTTTCCGATTTCACAGCGTTACTGTCCGCATTACACACCCAGATCTAGAGTTCTCAAACCCCGGAGCTCGCCCTCTCCCCCCTCCTCGTCGACTCTCCCCGCCTCTCGCTCGCCTCTCCTGCATCACCCCGGCTCTCGCTCGCCTCTACCCCTCCTCGCACTCGAATCCCAGACAGCCTCTCCCTGCCTCACCCCCTTCTCTCGCCTCTTTCACCCTGACCCTCTACCCCAAGCGTCCTTGCTCCTGCTCCAGACTCATCTGGTCAGCCAGTTACTTACTAGATAAATACACTACATTTACTACCCAGCATGTGTTCTATGATTTTTGTTACATCAGAACGTGTACTACTTCATACAAATACTATTACTAATAACAATAATAACACAAAACAGCAGCAACCGTATACATTACTTCTCTTCTCATGACAGAGGACCGTACCCGCTGCTGCTGCTGCTCCTCGTCCTACCTGATTGTTTAATCCCAGCGTCCCAGCTTACACAGCTATCAGCTTAGCTCACTTCGGTGGACCGTCAAAGAGGATTGTATTTGATAAGCCTAGCCGATATCGCGTGTCAAAGCTTTCAAGTGTAGCGCGTAGACCGTTGAAAGCTTTGACCGCGCGCCAGTGTACGCCGGGCTTCTCGCGGTCTTTCACCTGGACGCGCTCACCATTCACTTCAATTGCAACCTGACGCTTTTGACGCCGTGCCGTTAAGTCCGTGTAGAACGCCCCTTAGTGTATCCTATGTCACACTGTGGTTATTGAAGAAGCAGCTTCAAGAATTGAACACTGGTGTCGTCACCACCTAGACCTTCACGTACTTCAGGGCACACCGCACTGGACACTGAGGATCCTTGTGAGGAGAGAAAGACATGTACTCTGGGTCCATGGTTCAACCAAGCCACACAACAGGTCAATAAATGGTTTTTAATGCATTTACGATAGAATAAAACAGGGCCAGAGAGGACACAAAGAGAAAGAGACTCGCGAGAGAGATAAGATACAGAATGTACCTATAGCGAGAGGAGACCAATGGAGGACCAGGAGCTGAAACCATAAAACTTGTTTAATTTAAGAATTCTCAAAGAACAAAACACAACTGTAAAGAGAGAGAGAGCTCCCAACTAACACTATATATTCAGTTGTTAATATGATAGAGAGAGTTCCACTGGTGGTCACTCTCTTTGGACCTCTCTCTTTCTGCTGCTCCTCTTTCTCTCTCTGGACTCAGTTCTCTGTCTGTCAGATTTTAGTCCCAGTCGTAAATGCACTAAAAACACATTACCTTACCTGTTCTGTTAGATGGTTGAACATGGACCCAAGTAACAAGGTCTTTCTCAAACCACACAGACAAGATCCCTCAGGGTGCACCAGTGCTGAGTCCCTGAAGAGTGACGGTCAAAGGGACTCCACCAGAGTTTACATTCTTGAATCTGCTTCTACAAACCCACAGTGAGAACCAAGTAAGACACTAAAGGGGCGTTCACACACGGACTTAACATTCGGCTTCAAACAGGCGTCAGGTTTTTGCATTGAAAGTTGAAAGTGAAGCGCGTCAGGTGACAGCGCCGAGAGCCCCGCGTCACATGTCGCGCGTCAAAGACTTCAAAATGAACTACGCGCATCACTTGACGCTTTCATGACACGCGAAACGCTCGCGTAATCAAAACAATCCCTTTGATCGCCGAGCAGAGCAAAGCAGAGCTTTTGAACGCTTTGACGCGGGCTTCAACCAATCAGGGAACGAGGAAGCAGCAGCAGTCAGCGGTTCTGCTCTGTCGCATGAGAGCGAATCATGTATCTGTTACAAGCAGTTTTGTTGTCATAATTCGTTATATCATGATTATTTGTCTGATAGTAAAACGTACTGAGTAACAAAAAAACATAAGAAACATGCTTTTGTAGATAAAATGTAGTTGTAATTTATTATATCAAAACCGGCTTACGATGAGTACATTGGCTCATGAGCCGAGCCCGGGCAGAGGCAGGAGAAAAGCAGCGAGAGCCGGGCGGAGGCCGGAGAAGGCGACGAGCGAGGCGGATAGGCGAGCGAGAGCCGGAGAGGCAGGGCGAGGCGAGCGCGAAGGCGGGGCGAGGCGAGAGGCGCGGCGGGAGAGGCGAGCTCCGGGGTTGATGAACTCAGACTGGCGTGTGACCCTGGCGGAAGTACCGTTTGCTGAAAAAGCGAAGACTCCCGTTACGCAGCTCCGGCGAAAATGAGACGGAACTCCTGCAAAACACTTGCAGCCTCTCAAGCTGTGGTGAACCCAGAACAAAGTTTTGTTGAAGCCCTACACCAATGTTATTTTGCTTTATATAACAAAATAAAGGCTCGCTGCTCATTGAACAATCCACCGCTGTCCGACTACCGACACAAGAGGAAGCTCCTCCCATCGGCGTCAGGCGCGTCACTCGCGTCCAAAGCTTCAGCACCAAAAAGGACAAAACTATCTTGGCGATCAGCTGCAGGCGTCAAAAACTTTTATGCAGCGTTAAGGTCTGAAACGCGGCCATAACACTGATCTGACTTTATATTACAATTTATATTTAAAGTTTTAACGACTGGACAGAGTGCGAGCTTAGTCAACGACTCACAAGTGGATTAAACATGAACCATCACATGTGAAACGAGGGGCGTTCATGGTCCATGACAATGGAACGTGTTATTTTTATAATGCTGCTTTTTTGTGAAATAAGTTATATGTTGCACATTTGACCTTGTAGTAGAGAGCTGCAATGTGCTCAAGGATGCGCTTCAGTCTCCATCACAGTGGTCTGTACCATGCTTTTAGGATCAAGTGTCTTTAGGATGTTGTCACTCCTGCTGTGGGACCCCCGCACCAGAAAACATACAGAACCATTGATCCTGGAGCTCGTGTAGACACAGACGTCCGAAGCGTCTACATCTGACCACAGCTACACTACGAGGTCAAACCCACAGAACAACATCACCTTTACTACACACAAAGTCTCATCATGTTATTTATGATACTTTTAACTTAAACTCATTACCTCTACTATCCAATGATTTTTGTCCAGAGAAAACTCACTCCTGCTGTAGACTCAGCCCAGGGCCCAAGACCTTCAGGACCCAAAGACCTCAGGAACCCCAGTGACCTCAGCCCCAAGACCTTCAGGGCCCAAGACCTCAGGAACCAGACCTCAGGGCCCAATACCTCAGGGCCCAGACCTCAGGGCCCCAAGACCCTCAGAGCCCCATACCTCGGGCCCCAGAGACCTCGGACCCAAGCCTCAGGGCCAAGACCTCAGGGCCCAAGACCTCAGGGCCCAAAGACCTCAGGGCCCAAGACCTCCGGGCCCAAGACCCTCAGGGCCCAAGACCAACAGGCACACAAGACCTCAGGGCCAAGGCCCTCAGAGCGACACAAGGGTTTGTCTGATTCCCTGTTTATGAAACCATGAGTGTAGAAAACACCACAATGCACCAGTCATCAAAGAACTGTATGTTTTACTCTTGTAATGTTTTAACTGCAGTAAAATGTTTCCATTCCCCCTAGGAAAAAAAATTTTTTTTTACAAAGTAAAAAATGTGACAGACCGACCAGGATATAAACAAATTGCAAGTACTGCATTAACGATAGTCTTTTTTTTTCTCCTCTAACGTTGAAGATCATATTTAACAGTCCACTCTCGAGCGCCACGTCAGTTAAGTAGCAACGATATTAGGTATCACCATTTGAATCACAAACACCGATATAAAACTCGATCCTCAACGTCCTTTTTGTCTCTTATGTTTTGTGAGTGTTTGACGCTGGTGCATTCACACGGAGCGCTCCAGCCTCAATGGACATTTAGAGTCACATTCTAAGCTTTAAAGGAATTCACCGTTTTTTACATACTGACATATGTTCTTACCTACCTAGACTATTAATACTACCTGTCTGGTCTTAGTGCCGTGCCTCTGACAATAGACCAAAACTGCAGCAACAACGGGAGGCACCCACAACCGCAGCCGACTCCTCTGAGTCCACATGTTCTAGTACCCAAAAGGTAGCTACCGCTAGAAGCTACAAACTCTTCCAAAGTTCCCTATTAAAAGGTAAAAATTTACGTGACGTGTTCCCTGCAAATGTATAGGTAACCACAGAAATGTACACAGACGCTTTTCTCAGCGATAAAACGGTACTGATATTGTGAGGCGTGCGTCAATCTGAGGTGCGCGTACGTCCGCGCACGTAACCTTCTCCCGGAGACTCTCTCTCGCTCACATTCCGCAATTAGAAGCAGCGTGACTTGTATTACACACGAGTGCCGCGAGAGAGAAGTCTCCGTAGCAGAATTTGTAGCGCTACGTCCCGCAGCACTAACTTCCCTCTACCGAGACTTCTAAAACCTATTACCTTTAATCCACTATATCACAACAATATATTGAGGAGACTATATCTTAAGGTCCTCATTTAGATGATTTTCTCATTTGGAACAACGTTTCAAAATACTGAGAATCAGTCACCCTTAACATCTCCTCATTATAAAACATTTCCACCCTTTTAATCTGAATATAACGATACGTGGACAAACCAGTCTGACACCTGCTCCTGACAGTATACCACCACATTCCACTTTTATAAGTCATTTTCAACAGTGAAGCACGATAAATTGGTATAAATATCGATACAGCCGATGTTCATTCAATCCATGTTCAGGCATTGCTAGAGGATACTCGCTTACAGAACTCTAAATCATCTAATTACTGAAACACAACAGTAATATTATAGGCATGACAATGTACCACTATATTAATTCATGTTAAACCTTCTCTAGTTTTTAATGTTTATCAATTAATATTGTGACTATTAAATCTTGTCTATTTTTATCCTCTACACTTTTTATAAACTACTGACATACGCTGCATAAAAGAGATAGAGTTTTCACTCAAAAAAAGAGCCCAAAAACTCCTGTGTGCTTTTCCACACATCGCCCCATTCTAACTAAAATAAGCATACCTTCTGAAAATAAGAAATAAATTCAGTATGTACACACTTTTAATCATACTACAGAATCATTATTATTATTAGATTATAAACACGTTATCACAAATAGCTTGAATTATTCCGGACCATAATAGAAACATTAATATCGTGATATCAAAATCCGCCAAAGCTTGTATTTCAATAAATCGGATGCATTCCCCCTAATTTTCAATTCTACACGTTGTAATCTCAACGTTTGCATTTTCCTATACTCACTCTACTCGGATACTCTATGGCCCAAAGTTTAAGATGGTTATTTTCTAGGATTCTTTGGCCGTTTTGGTTAAAGAATCACATACTAAAGAGAATCCCATGTTACATAGTGTCAATAAGTCAAACTGCAAGAAGTGGTTGAGTAATTCTGGATGCACTGATCCACTAAAGCTGACAAGGTAAACTCTGGCGATGAACTATACAATCCTATTCACAGATAGAAAGGAACTCTGGAAACAGTGGAAAAAGCTCTCAATTAAACAGGCTGAATAGAAGTAAATATAAAAGCAACACATGATTAACCTGTTACGTCAGCAGTTCTCTCACAGAAGTAATCAGCGCCAGAAGCTCTGCAGATCAAAAAACAGCGTCTGATCAGCAGAATGTGGGAGTGGTGGCCGAGGAAACAGAAGTAGCAGAAGTACTCCACCTGAACAGCATCATCCCCTTGAGCAGTACTTCACAGAGGGCCTCAGTGAACACACCACAGCCCAGCATTGAGGTAGCTAGGCTGAGGTAACTCTCCAAGAAGACTGCCCATCAGAGGAGGCGAGGCTGCGGGAACTCTCCAGAAGAACAGCCCATCATGAGAGCAGAGCTGAGGGAACTCTCCAAGAAGACTGTGCAGGAACCCCTCCAACAGGTGACAGGACATCATTAAGAGCACTGGCCACCGAAGACAGCAGGGGGCCCACAGTCCATCAGAGCATTGCTGACCTCTGAGGCGGGGGCAGGAGTGGTTGGTAAGACCTTCTCAGTTCCTGAATTTACCTGTCTGAACTGGCTCAGGGCTGCAGAGAACCAAGGCGCTGGAGCTGGTGTGCCGCATGACCTTACCAGCGAGATGAACTCTGTTGCAAGGGCAGCGCAACAGTCTGAAGCCGCTCATACAAGTGTTTCCATCCAGCGCTGGAAAAACAGGTGATTTATCTTCTGCTTCAATCCTAGTATCACAGAGTTTACTTTCAAACATCATATTATAGTTTTACACAACTGAGAACTTCTCCCCGCCCTGAGCAGATGGCGTTTGAATCATAACTAATAACACGTTAAAAAAAACACCTTCATTCCCTGGTGTCAAAACTTATTGTCACAGATCATCATGCTAGCAAAACAGAGCGAGCTTCATTCATCATTATGGACTTGTAAAACTGTCATGTTCTTTGATGTTCCACAGACTCTCTCATCCCTCTCTAGTCCGTCTCAGAAACTCCTCTTCATCTTAGACGCGCCTGGACGAGAGCCGACTGGTCTGGACTTTGACTGTGAGCTCATCTCTGAGGCACACACAGTGCGCTCCAGACGTCCGTGGTGCTTCGAAGTGAACCAATCATCGCACTCTTCTACCTACAGAAGACCTTATATGGATCACCATCCAGACCAGCAGCAGCCCAATCAGATCCCATCCACAGAGTAGTGCACATAGTCACAGGATTCAGGACAGGCTTCATCGCCAGAGCGGTCAAAGGAGACGCAGTAACTACAGAAGAGGTTCACAATGAAGAGCAGTGGTAAGACAGTCCTGTCCCACACTCAGAAGCTCCCGCCGACCTCCACAACATGTGTCATGAATCCCCATCTACTGCTGATCATCTCGCCCCCTAAAACTGTCCTGGACCACATGTTGATGAACCGATCGAAGCGGACGCTGCCCCAGACTCTCCGCGACATATGATACGCTGCTTCCTATTGGAGCATGACACCCACAGATAGAGAAAATACCAACCGAGACCTGAGGCCTATCAGAGAAAATCAGTTATTTGGTCTGGTCAGGTTTCAGAACCTGGAACAAGATCCAACCGTGGTGTAGACAGAAGCAGACATCCACCTGAAGCATGGTCATCCTGGCCATTGAACATCTTCTGCAGCGGAACATAATGTTCTAAACCAGAGACCGGAGCAGGTGGGACTGGACCCGACCCGAGGCCTCGTCTACTCAGGACTCGTACAGATATCATCAAACAAGAAAGTGTAGTCCTGTCAACCAATCTGTCTACAGCTTCTGCCACCTGAGTGTCCAGAAGTTTATGGGCAGCGTTTTCCCCTTTTGCTCACTGCATTGGAAGTGACATTCAGCGTATGAGAAAGCTTTCTCTGTGAAAAGACTCAGACAAAGTCTAACGTGCAAGAGCGTTCACCTGCACCCAGAAAGATCTCTTGATAAATCCCCTGAGTGGGTTCAAACGGCTCGCCTGGGACCTGTTTGTGTCTGCTTCCTACATGGCCTCAGTCTGGACACAACCAGAGACTTTTAAAGGTCCTGCTCGAATCCATGGAACAGTCAGAAATCCAAAAAGTCATTGAAAACCCCAGAGAGATGAGCTCAGAGGAGGAGTCTTCAGACAGAAGCAACTCAACTTCCACTGTCTGATGGAGATGCAAGGACCAGTCTCAGCCTGCAGCTTCTCCAATCTTACTCCCTGAAAGTCTGGAAGGACTCAGCAGACAACTGTCTGTGTTCCAGTGCACAGCATACATGGCCTAGCATGCTGCAGATGACAACCAGGTCCTTGGCGGTAACTGAACCAAAAAAGTACAACATTTGTCTGCACGAAGTTTGTAGGAGACAGATCCCTGCTAGTGAGGAACTGCCGTAAGGCTCGGTCAGAGGTTCCTCAAAAACTGCTGTCAATTCCTGAACAGACTCTAACAAAATACAATATAACTTTCTGTTTACAGGTGTGTGACTGTAGACCACAGATACAGAACTGTGAAGTGTGCATCAGCGCTGAGTCCAGCCCCATCCCTTCCACTGAACTGGATCAGAGTCGTAATAATGAGTGACTCAAGTGTGTCTGTGACTGTTCTGGAACTGCGGTGAGTCCTCCACTGTGAGCTCTCCTCTCTCCTGTGAGTGTCCATCCTTTCAACCTCATGGATCCTCAATGGTTTGTGAGAGCTGAGTAACGTCCACCATAAATGTGGGAGCAAGTTCCTCCTGAAGACACAGAGGGAGCAGCACCGTGGTTAACAAATGAACCATAATGAATTAGTCACATCATTACAGTTTTAGCCACTAAACAGTGGCTTGTTTTATCAAGATTTATAGAGCTTGGAAGTGGGCGAGCATCAGGTTCTGGAATTAAAATCCATCTTACTATTATAAGGCTTAGAACGTTTCATTTAAAATAAGACACAGCTGTGGAATACAACATCAGGGACACACTGTTCTGTTGTTAGGACAGACGCACAAACTAAGAGTCCGACTTTTTAAATGTG